CTCCCATTCCTTCCCATTCCATTTGTTGCATGACGTTCTTGAGGGTGGCAGTGAAGAGTTTTGGTGAAATGATATCACCCTGCCAAACCTCTCTCTTGACATTGATGATCACTTTCTTGTAGAATGGTGAGATTAAGTATATATGCAATACAAAGGGAATCCTCAAAGGAACAGCCAGCCCCAGCTCTTTCCCTTCCAGAGGTCCTGAATCCAATTCTGAAGCTTTCTCTCCCTGTTCTTGCAGCAAATTAGTGGGTGTGGTAGTGCTGGGGAGTTTTAATCCCCAGCCTGACCTAGGTCAGAAGAATCTGAGTTGGAAGGTCCTAAGATTATGAACTGGCATGCATCCATATCTGTGTAAACATTTTCTTTTGAGAAATAGATGCTTTGTAGAAAACTGCTCTTCAACTTTCCCTAAACAGGTTGCTTGCCATGTAAGTACATTTTATTTTATTTCTGTTCCACACTTAATTCAACCAGTCTCCCACTTATGGATAGTAAAATTATTTTCCATGGCATAAATTTACAAATAATGCCATAATGGAGACATTACTGGTGCCCGCTCGAGCAAATTGATGAACAGCGGGAGGGCAGTGCTATAGTGCGACAGTGCCATAATGAATATCGGTATGCTCCCAGAGATCTTTATTTTTTTGTGCAGTGTCTTTATCTGTCTGTTTGCATATCTATCTACCTATTTATCTATCTTTATTTATCTTCACACAGGGTAAATTTTAAATGATTTATTATGAAGACTATGTGATTTGTAATGTTATGCATATCTGTATTACAGGCATACTGTGCTCCAGCAGGCTGGAGCAATAGCACAGCGGGTATGGTCTTTGCCTTTCCTGCAGCCGACCCAGGTTCGATTCCTATTCCTCAGTCCCTGTCAGAGAGCCCGGCAAGCTACTGAGAGTATCCCACCCACATGGCAGAGCCTGGCGAGCTCCCTGTGATGTATTCGATATGCCAAAACAGTAACAAGTCTCACAGTGGAGATGATACTGGTGCCCGCTCAAGCAAATTGAGCAATCGAGGACAGTGCTACAGTGCTATGTTCCAGCACCAGTCCATCCATCAGTGTAAGCTTTCCCTTGCCAATTTCTCCAGATTCCTTCCCACTTTTCCCTCACCCCTGACACATTTGTCAGGTCCATTTTTGACAGGCACCTTTAAAAGTTTGGTTGCTTTTACTGTTACTGACTGTGCAGTTTGGATGTATAGTTCTACCACTCCTGTATACTACTGATGTGCCCAAGTCCCCAAGTCCTTTCACTTGTCCCCCCATTACTTCCTGTTTTCTCTTCTTCTTGATTTATTTCCTTCTTGCATGTCCTTTCTCTAGACTCTGGGGTCAAGGGTGAACTTTCTTGACATCCCCACTTTACTACATTTTCTTATCCAGTTACTGTATATATCACACATAAATGAGACCATCCTGTATTTGTCCTTCTGGATTACATTACATAACATGATATTTGCCAGTTCCATCCAAGGTGCAGCAAATTGCATGATTTTGTCATTCCTTGCAGCTGCATCATTTTCCATTGTGTATGCATATCACATTTTACATAATCCATTAGACTGACTTTGGCCACCTAGTTGATTCCATATCTTAGCTGTTGTACTAAGTGCCTAGATAAATAATGGTGCGCATATGTCCTTTTGAATTAATGTTTTGGTATCCTGGGGATTGATACCAAGAATTGCTGGGTCATATGGTAGCTCAGTTCTTAATTTACTGAAAAATCTTCATACTGTTTGCCATGGGGGTTGAACCACACAACATTACCTCTAAGAACTCTGGTGGTTGCCACTTTCTAGAAATCAGTGAGAAGCTCCAGGTACGATTTGCAGTGATGGCAAATCCCAAGTCTCAAGGGATAGGGGAGGAGTGGGACCTCCTTCTCCCCCCCACTGCCCCGCCCCAATGAGACGCCAGGATGACACCACATCCAACCACCTGCTACTTAAGCTCCCACACGGTCATGGTCCAGGGAGACACAAACAAATCTCAGACCTGAGCAACTTGCCGCAGCAATTTCTTCAGACCCTAATTATTAAAATCTTAGAATTCCTAGATATATAATATGGATATATTATATCCATAACAAGCAATGCAAAACATTGTCTAGCATTGCATTATCAGCAGGTATGAGGGGTGGTAGGACTGGTATCAATATATCGAAGGTAACTAAAGTAGAGAAAGAGTATTTTGCAAATTATCTGTCACATATGCAGGAGGAGAGGTGGAATAGGGGGAAATACTGGGAATTTTGGTGGTGGAAAACGTGCACTGGTGAAGAGATGGGTGTTTGACCATATGGTCCAAGTTCAAACATGGAATTTTTGCTACTGTACTTCACAGCGATAGCACAGCGGTAGGGCGTTTGTCTTACAAGCGGCCAACATGGCCGACCCGAGTTCGATTCCTCCGCCCCTCTCGGAGAGCCCGGCAAGCTACCAAGAGTATCTCGCCCGCACGGCACAGCCTGGCAAGCTCCCCGTGACATATTCGATATGCCAGACACAGTAACAACAAAGTCTCCAATGGAGACATTACTGGGCCGCTCGAGCAAATCGACGATTGAATTAATAAAAAATAAAAATAAATTTAAAACAATGAAAAAATATTTTGATACTGTATTACAAAATGGTGAATTATAAATCCTGATGTCATATTTAAATTTAAAATAGTAAATTATTTTAAAGAAAAAAATGAGAGCAGTTCCCTTTTCCCTGTCAACACAGAGTGTTCCCAGTATTTTTTTTGGCGGGGCGGGGGAGCGTGGTGGGGAAGGGTAGGCATACCTGGGGATGCTCAAGGAGTTACTCCTGGCAGTGTTTGGGGGACTATATGGGATGTCAGGGATGCAACACAGGTCAGCACCATGTAAGGCAAACACTGCTGTACTATCGCTCCATCTCCTGTTCCCAGTGTTTTGCTATGTGAGATACCTCATTGCTATCTTGATTTGGATTTCCTCAATAATTAATGGTGATGGACATTTTTTTCATATGTCTGTTTTTCAACCATCTCTGAGAAATATCTGTTCATTTCTCATTTTTTCTCCCCATATTTAATAGGTTTTTAAAAATTTCTTGTTGATCTTTGTGAGTACTATTTATTTCCTTAAATATCATCCACAAAGGGTGAATTTCATGAAATGGAATTACTTAAGTCAAAGAGGATGATATTGAAATTTTTATAACTGATGCCATTAACCTTTAATTATTATCTGCCAAAATATTTAAGAATGGTCATATTTCCTCTTATATTGCGCTCTGTTCATAAAAATTATTGCTTATTAATTTTATAGATGAAAATGGTATTATAAAGTATAAGTTTTAAAGTTTGCACTTTATTATACACATTTGAGCATCTTTTAATATTTTTTTCCTTTGGTTTATTTTGTTTATGTTTTTGGGGCCACACCTGGCTGTGCTCAGGGCTTACTATTGTCTCTGTTCAGAAATTATTCCTACTGGGGCTAAGGGGACCATATGGTGGCACAGACTGAATCCAGTTTGGCCACATGCAAGCCAGATACCTTACCCTCTGCACTCTATGCTTCCTTTTTAAAAAGACATTTCCTTTTAAACATCTCTTTTACTGCATCCCTTTTAATGTGAAGTTTTGATTTCATTTATTTTTTTAAAACTTATTTATAACTCATTATGAAGTAATGTGGGTTTTAGAGATTTGGTATATATACTACAACACACACACACACACACACACACATATATATATATATATAATGATTTCTAGTTTAGATAAGTCGTCTTCTCATTACTGATTACAAATGTCCTTTTATCATGTATTCAATTTCAACATATGCTTAAAACTCTTTCAGTATCTAGTTTTGTTCCATTGATCTTGTTCAAATGATTTTACCTCCTACCCCACATTTTATACACATAGCACTAATCCAATAAAATTCTTCTGGAATATTTTACAGGATTCTGTAGATGTGTAAATAATGTAAAAAATATTGTAATTTCAGAGGTACCATATTTTAAACTTTTAGATTATTCAGTATTTCCCAAATTGGGCGATGGCTGCATCAGGAGGAATGATATTGGGATTGGGAGGGCGGTTGTAGTCTCATGTTTAATTGGGGGATTGGGAGATTTTCCTATTTCTTTTTTTTGCTCTTTCCATGTGAGTGCTGAGGTTTTTTGTTTGTTTGTTTGTTTGTTTTCAGTTGAAAATAGGCTTGGTTGGATGAGTCAGTTTGCGTTGGTTTGTATATACATCCATTGACTGCAAGCTAGATGTTAGGCTCTTGGGAAGATGCAAGCTAGATGGCTCTTTCCCATCATCTTGGGAAAGATGACCCGTTGCATCTTGTTTTATGGATGAATTGCTTCTCGTCATTCATGATGTGATTGAGAAATTTTCTGAAATGTGTTGAGCTAGCAGTGTTAGCAATGCACCCGATCTTCTGTCCCACATTGTCCAATCCAGTACATAGTGAATTTTAAGTCCATCCAACCCTTTCCTTTCACTTTTACATGAATTATGAGGTAGAGTTGAGTTCCTTTGGGCATTGTATTTTTCTTTAAAATTATGTAAGCCAGTAACATTTTCCCATCAACATTGCCATGCATTGTAATTTTTCATTGCACTAGTTTTCATAGATGTACTTGATGATCCTTTTTGTGTAAAAGTGCCTATGTGAGGCATCTCAAAAAGCACTGCAGTCTGGACCGCATTATTCATTTGAGAAACTAAACCACTAGAACAAAGCACCATTTATGATAGGTTCTCTTACGTGCAAATCCTTGAAATTATAAAAAAAAGTTAATTTTGTTACTTCAGTTTAAGATAAGATTGTCTACCGGATAATCCCTACCAATAAGTCAAATTATTTTTTTTTCCTCTCGAAAGTCTTTTTTTTCTGATTAAGAGAAAAACAGGTACTTAATTGCTGTAATTTTTCCTGAAAGACAATTTAAATTTCCAACTTCCTTTCTTTTGGACTTTTTCAAAGATATGAGCGTTTCAACCAGACCCTGGACACCATTGGGGAGAATGAAGGTGGCATCGATAAATTTTCCAGAGGTTATGAATCTTTTGGCATCCATAGATGTGACGATGGTGGAATTTACTGCAAAGAGTGGGCACCGGGAGCAGAAGGAGTGTTTCTTACTGGAGACTTCAGTAAGTATTTTAAATGCATTGAAGTTAATAGTAGTTTTATTTACCTCTTAAAACAAAGACTTGTCATACTTAATGTATTTAATTATATGAACCTTAATAATTACAAATATTCAACTTTTCAGATGTCATCATAGAATTTATTAACACACCTGTTACAGGTGCTTCTGCTATAATGTAATTCACATGTTTTTGAAAAACTTGGTTTTCTGTAAAGTCATGTACCAGAACTAACAGTGTCTGAGAAAATCATGTTAAATGAACTATGCCAAATTTATTCTGTTTTCTCGGCATGCTTTGACAAAACCAGCAACAGTCTGGCTCAAAGTATTGGAGTTTGTTAAGGCTCCACTAAAATTTTTGTGCCTGTTGACTGATATTACAGTTTTCGGACCCTCTGTAGGCTAGTAACCTTTTGCCATCTAGCAAAAATAGAAAAGTAAAAATCTTCCTCAATCTTACCTTTTTTTTTTTTTATAACATAGAAAATATCTTCTCATCATATTCAGTACTCGTAACTTTATTAGATATTAAAGCTATTGAAAGCACATATTGCTGGGAGATAATGTAGCAAGGGAGGAGTTCACCTTGTATGCACACTACCTCGCTTCCATCTCTTGCACCTCATATGGTTCTCTGAGCATAGCCAGGAGGAAGCCCTCAGCCCTGGCAAGTGTGCTCTCCCATCCATCCCTCACTCACTCTCCTCTCAAAAAATTAAAAACAAACAAACAAAAAAGACAATTTAGTTTCATTAAGTGGGAGAAAGGGATAATATATAAATAAGTAGAATGCAATCTTAGCAGTTTTATTCTAGAAGTATAAATAAATGACTGTGAAAAAGAAGAGAGCTCAATTTTAAAAGTAGAAGAACTGGCAACTGCCTTGGCAAAAATGTTGCTGATACATATGTTTTGGGTTAATGTCATCTATATCTATATATTCTTGGGACCTGCAACTTTAAGCTAAATGACATAAAGCAACCCCAGACAGGTTACCATTCCATCATGTGACGACCTCATGCACATACACTAAGACTCAGCCCTACTTCATATGTTAGACATGCAAATGAATCTAACAAGCACTTTTTTTGTTTATTTTTGGGCCACATTTGACAGTGCCCAGGGCTTAGTCTTGGCTCTGCCAGCATCATTCCTGGCAGAGCTTGGGGGACCATATGGGGTGCTGGAGATAGAACCCTAATATGCATATTTTGGAATGTAGTGGAGGGGTGGAATAGGGTTGGGAGTACTAGAAACAAAAGCCCATAGAGACATGGTGAAGAGTCAGTGTGTTTAAATAAACTCCACCCAGAGAGTAGCCCCCTGCTGAAAACACACACACACACACACACACATACACACATATGCATATGTGTATTATATATTATAACAAAATAACATGGAATAAAACTGTGGTCCTTTTCATTGTTCCTGAAAAAGGAAAGGGATCAGCTGATTAATAGTCCTTTAATAATTTCATGTAGGGTATACTATTTAAATTTTTTTTCATCAGTCTTTGGTGTCTTCTAACTGTATAATTCAATTTAAGAGACGTTCTGGAAATGCCAAGAGTGTAGGATCGGGAAACATCAGATTTGTCAGATTTGGGGAATAGGGTGTGCAAGTTGATTACAGAAGAGCAAGAATATACTTTTTAGGGTGAGGATATTTTTTAATGTCCTGATCATGGTTACATGGCTACTTAGTTACAATGGCTGTGTTTATTTATTGAAACTTATAGAATTATGCAATAAGAGAGTAAAATTTTCTGTGTATGTTATACCACAACAAATAACTTTCAAACATTTCAATTTTTAATATATTTCCTTCCCAGTACTGTCCAGTAGAAATATAATGCAAGTCAGTTATGTTCTTCAAAATACTAGTATTATAAACAGTAAAGGAAAAACAATTAAATTTTTCAGAGAAAAAATTTTCTTAATTTAATACTAAATTATTTGAAATGTTATTTAACTCAAGCTATATATATATCTATATGTATATATCTATCTATATATATCTCAAACATCTAATGAAGTATTCCATTTGTTTAAATCTGATCAATTTTCCTTGAACCCACATACATATATTTAACAAAATTTTTAGTTTTAAAGTTTGTGCTCAAGGTTTTTAAAATAAAATGAAATGGTCTGGTTACCAAATTGAATATATATCTGATTAGTAGCAGCAATCCAGGCTCTAACTCTTGTTCTAGTTATCTTGCTACCTCTGCCACATCTGCAGTTATTCCTTCCAGTGAAATCTTTAGCCCTTCACAGTCATCCTTGAATATAGTGATCAATTTCTTTCAGACTCCTGTGATCCATGGGTAATTGATCACCTTATTTGAGTCTGAAATGTTTTACTTTTTTTTTTTTTGAGTGTGATTAGGGCACACCTGGTGATTCTTGAGGATACTCCCAGCTTGGTGTTTCAGGCTTGCTCTGTTGCAGTGTTCAGGAGGTCATGTGATGGTGAGGGCTCAAACCCAGTTATGGATAAGCTAAGTATGTGTTCTGGCCCTTTGGGCTATCTCTGAGGACCTCACTTACATGTTTTCTTTAGTTTTTGGTGGAGTGCTTTCATGTGCAAAGGGAATTGAGTGCTTCTCAGCCAATTGGATTGCAAGGGCAGAAGGAGGTGGTGCTCCTTTTGACTTGTGGTGCTTGGGATTACCAAGAGGTGCTGTGGGGACAGAGGTCTCTAAGGTGATCTCCACGGTGGTCAGGGGCAGGGGTTGCTGAAGATCCAGCTGGTTTTGTCCCATGTTATTCATGGGCCTTAACTCCATTATTAACTCTCTAGTCCTCAAAAGTCCTCCTAATTGCACTTGCGGTGGTGAATCTTTTCCAGAAGGGCTTCACTTGACTTTGCTCATTCATATTTATCATAGGAATCACTTCATAACAGCTTTAAAAAGGTAAAGGTAAAGGCCCTCCCGTTTATCGTCAATTTGCTCGAGCGGGCCCAGTAACATCTCCATTGGAGACTTTGTTGTTACTGTGTTTGGCATATCGAATACGTCACGGGGAGCTTGCCAGGCTCTGACGTGCGGGCGAGATATTCTCGGTAGCTTGCCGGGCTCTCCGAGAGGGGCGGAGGAATCGAACTCGGGTCGGCCATGTTGGCCGCTTGTAAGGCGAAAGCCCTACCCGCTGTGCTATTGCTCCATAACAGCTTTAATTTTAGGAAATAGATTTCTTCAATAATATGACTTGAAAGTCAAAATTACTCTTTGATCCATGGACTACAGAGTGGATGTTGTATAAGCAGGCATGAAACAGACATTAATCTTTTGTATATCTCCTTTAGCGCTCTTGAGTGGCTATGTGCATTGTCGATGAACAGTAATTTTTTAAGCGAGATGTTTTGTTGTTGCTGTTCTTCTCCTCCTTCTCCTCCTGCTCCTCCTCCTCTTCTTTCTCCTCCTCTTCCTCCTCTTCCTCCTCTTCCTCCTCTTCCTCTTCCTCCTCCACTTCTTCCTCCTCCTCCTCCTGCTCCTCTGCTTCTTCCTCCTTCTTCCTCTTCTTCCTCCTCCTCCTTCTCATCCTCCTCTTCCTTTCTTCCTTCTTTTTTGTGAGTAGTGAGTCTCAAAATGGCACTAAGATGTAATAGTAAATCATCTTATAAATAACTGTGCTCCAACCTTTTTCATTCGTAGAGCTCATGAGAGATGTATCATAATTCTTAAGGGCTGTGGGATTTTCAGAATGGTAAATAAGCATTGGTTTTAACTTATATCAACAGCTAATTTCCTCTTTACCAAGAAAATCAGCTTGCGCTTTACACCTTTAAGCCAGATATTTATTTCTCTCTAGCTATTAAAGTCCTGGTTAAAGTCTCTTTCAGTAGAAGTGTGTTTCATCTGCACAGAAAATATTATTGAGCGTATCTTCCTTTGCCAGTTTTCTTAGATATAGTATCATTTAGTTTCCTGAAAACTTGCTGTAGCTCCTATATCAGCATTACTCCTCAAACTTGCACTTGTCTTTCTTTTCTTAAATTTCATGCACCAAAAACTTCTAGCTCCACATTTTTAACCTGAAATATCCTCATATCTTGAAGATATGATATATCTTATATATAATGTATAAGAAATATCCTCATATCTAGAATTGAAGACAATATGATTTTACTGTGGATTAAGCTTTAGTCAAATATATATATATGTATATATATATATATATATATATATTGCTGTGGATCAAACTGAGATTGACTGCATGCAAGACAAGTGCTTTAAGCCCTGTACCATCTTTCTGGCCTTATTGGAGACATTGTGATTGACTGAATTTCAGTGATGTGGTGAAAGAGAGCTGCAGGGATGGCCACTTGGTGCTGCTGTTTAAATATGTTTATTTATAGCCACTATTTTATCTGGGTATAATGTAGCATCCTAAAATAATTACACTTGTAACATCAGCGATCACTAATCACCATGACATACAGAATCATGATGAAAAATGTGAATATTGATAGAATTACTGGAAGATGTCGCACACTTAAAGTGAGCATTTGCTTTTAGGAAATGGTATGAGAAGAATTGTTAGACAAAAAACTGCCACAAAACTTCAATTTGTGAAAAATAAAAAGCAATATATGCAAGTACAATAAAGCAAAGTACCATAAAAATGATATCTGCCTAGGCATATCTTAGTCCTATTGAGGGTTTAGATTCCAGACCACTGCACTATAGAAAATGTAACAATAGAGTGAGTCACTTAAATGTTTTGGTTCTCCAGTGTATGTTGGTGTTGCATGTACAGTATGCTAATAAGTGTGAGATAGCACTATGTCTATGAAGACAATGCATATACCTTATTACATGTGACACTGCGAGATGAACGAACGTATGCTGTTAGAAAAAATAGCTCCCATAGACTTGTCTGATGTTCAGTTGCTATAAATATTTCATTTGTTTAAACAGATTATCTGTGAATTATAATAAAGCAACATGTTATAAAATGAGATGTCACTGAATATGAAATCTAGGTATGTGGC